CAACTCATATGTTGTTTATATTTAGCCTTAGTTTCGACAAAACTTAAATTGCTGAACTTAAGCTTCTTAACACAAATAGTTTTTGCAATCTGATTCCAGACTTCTGGAATACGGGCGTTTTGAGATCGTAGAGCTTCATAAAAATAAATCTTATGAAAACAACGTTTATCGTGTCATACAAACAAACAAACAGTTTGCGTGAATTTAAAACATTCATGCCAAGTTTTCTGGCGTAAAAGCATTAACGATCGGATATACAGGATGGACTTTTCGTTCTGGTATTGTGTTTCCGCAGTTTGACAAATATGTTCAAAATCTGTACGCATGTGAATGGACTATTGAATATTCAAATTAGAAATAGCATATTAAAGGTCAGGTCAACAAATATTTATCAGTCACTAAATATTGAAATACAGACTAAAGAGAAATTCATTTACTTGTCGATAGGTCCTATATGGTGTTTGCTTAGTTGTCCCTTCTGCCCTATGAGTAAATAAACTAGCATCTGGCGTAGGTACCTAGCTTAAAATGAAGCGGTTCGTGGCTCTTTTGTGTTTTCAAATACCCTGTTTTCTATAGGCGACAGAAACACAGTAAGAGAAAAAATCTCATGTTTAGAGAACAACAAAAACAAAGCTAGAATAATATAAAATGCGACACATTTGGGGATAGATCGAATTTCAAAACACGTCTGGAGTCCTTTTCTGCCAGCTGTCATGGCTACAGTTGTGTTTTTCTTTCATTTACCGGAAAAAAACATCTTCAAATGCGACAACCAACAATCTGGACCACTTAAGGGCATCTTGGAGAAATCTTTTCTTTCATTAAAAGCAAGTACATTGTACGAAATGAGAACTTTATTAATTCATAAAAGTATCAAGTATAGGTTTCGAAATAAATTTTGCAAATTGAATCATATACATATTTTCAACTTTAGAATTTTAATCAATTGAAAGTTTTATTGGACTATAGGTGTAACTGTATGTGTTTGTTTTAAGGTTTACTCTGTATTCGGTTTGTTTCATCCCTTGCCAAATGCAGAAATCACAGGCATTTCATGTTGGTGGACGAGAAAATTTAAATTTTGAAAATGACATACAGAAAAAAGCACTACCAAACAAAATTATTTTCGATGAACATGAAACTTTCTTGAAATGAAAGTAACTTGAATGTTATACTTTCGTAAGTTGCTTTAATTATGCCTGTTTCCGTCCTTATGTTTTTATCTAAAACTCATATCTACTACATTATTTGGCTCGTTGTTGCTTGCAGGTTTTCATGATTATAAACAGGTCAAATTGTAAAATTTGGAAATTGTGGATATTTAAGAACCTACATGATATAGTATGAACCCAAACAAACTACATATATCGATCGTAAATAAATAGTTACAAATTCGATCGGTTGAAATTTTCTGGAGCATCCAAACTTTAGTCTATGATACTTGATGATCGATCACCTTCAGCCATAAAATCGAACTTCTAGTCATTCTAACTCTCAAGTGTGTGTTTTCCTTTTCTGAAAATCTGATCAACTTTGTTGATAAATCTGCAAGGCGGAAATTGATAACAAAACTCCAAAATAGACATCGTTCAACCTAAGCATCTTCGGCGATGAATGATGTCTTTGAATATATTAAGTTTTATTTGTCATCCTACTTAAACAAATTGTGACACCCTCATGCCACGTGAACTTTTGAGCTATGACTACACATAAAAACCTGGTCGTAATATTTTTACCTTAACAACATTAATTTATTTAAGTAAACATGTGAATATTTAATTATCTTGGTAACAGCTTTACTAAAAAGTTCATATTTATTCTTGTATACATACACTGAAGTTACGTAAATATGCCAGTTGCGTCTTATATAAGCGAAAGATTGCTGTAATCTGCAATTATTAATTTATCTAATATTCAGCAGTTGATTGTGTTAAATTTTTAGTTAAGTAGCATGAGCTTTTTACAACTCATATCGTTGGCGCAGAGAGTTTGAAATATGTATAAAAATTAAGCGAATAAAATATTTAGAAAGAAAGGGCTTCACGTTTCAACCTTTGAATATATGTATTGAAAGAAAAACCGCTGCACAACAGCGATTCATTCATGATGTGTTTATCATTGATCTTTCAGGACAAAAACAAAATAATTGACATTTGAAATATGAAATTCGAGAGAAAATAGAAGTGGTCGGCTACTGATAACTGATTGTTTGCTACAAAAATATGCACTGTGTCCACGATAAGAAGGGCTTGTGTGAGGATATCGGAAAGCGCAAATGATACGAAGTTGGTCAAATGAGGGAAAGGCTGCTAAAAGACAAATCAAATAGGCATTTGGATTATTCAATACGAATTTTCGTTGATGACTTGTTTCAATTTCTTAGCGCTCATATCAAAGTGCTAAAAGCTCTAACATTTATTATTCTTTTAGACATCCAATGTTTATATTCTATTTATTCAGAATGGTTTCAGCAAATTTGGAGCAGTGACAGTGTACAAGATTTTCATCGAAACGTTTCGCAAGCACGAGTGTCGTTTGCATCCTCAGAAATGTTTTGCTTTAAAGCTTAGTCCAATGTAAACTTTCGAACGAAACACATCTAAGTATGCAAGCTCTGCTTGTAAAACGTAATAAAAAAATGTTTTTCACGACGACTTGCAAGTCACAAAAATACAACAGCTTCGAAATTTGTAGTTTTTGTAAAATGAGCGAAAAAGGATAAGAAACATTTATTGAGCAAGCAATAATAGGGTTTTGAAGGGAAATTCATCGACATCATTGAGTAGGTATAATAGCAAGGAATAAAAAAAAATTAAAAATAAAGGTATAAAAAGGTACATTTTTGTTAATATTATTATTTTTACTCGAGAAGGTACTGAAAAAACTTTCAAATTTTAAATATATTTGTTAGTAAATCCAGTAGCCTTTAATTACACGAAGCACATACTCACAAATACTGCGGGAATTCGCAATTGTAAAAAACTAAATATGTAGCTGAATTAATTAGTTTGGTTCCTGATATGGCTAACTTTTTTGCATATGCATACCAATACATATTTGGAATATCTAGGTTCAGTAATAGAAGAGTCAAACGAAACAGCTCTAGATTTATGGATTAATCTCTCCATTTATGGAGAATAACCAGATACTTCTTAGTTATAAATAATAAGACTAAAGCAGGGATATTGTTGTGATGTCTTCGTTTCCATGTTGCTGCTGAAGAAAATAATTTTTTACAACGGAAAACTTATTTGCAAGAAGTTTCGCAGAGTAAGCCATTGTTTTCGCCAGTCTTTTTTGTGGAATTTGAACCCCCATTTAAAATATTATTCCATATAAAGTAAATATTAAAAAGTGAAGTAAAAAGCTCGTCTAGTAAAAAGTAATGTAAGTATTACTGTCAACGATTGGAATTTGATTTCAAATAATTAGGAAACGTTCAGGTATATTGTCGAAATTTCTCTGAGAATAAAGGTGGAAGTTCTGAATTATTAATGGCATACTTAAGAAATATAAATACATAATCAGCAAATATATACGTATTCCTCACGATTACGTGAGTGTTTTTAATTGCTGGTGCAGTTCTAAAGGTTAATAGTTTTTAGGTTTGCTCATTGTTCAAAATCATATCCTAAATTTTATATTTTATCTTCAAAATTTTACATTTAATTGCGACATTTTGCTGGATAAACTGAACATGAGTCACTCTGTAGTTACACGCGATACAAAAAAATATAAAATATCATTCTTGTTAAACAAACAGTTAAGCAAGTAAGAGATTATTTTTAAATTTCTATAGATATGGTTTCCTTTTGGGGAATGTTTTTTGTTTTGCAGGTTATTTATCAGTTTTTGCTTCAAATGTATATAAATACGTGTCCTTAGCGAGACTTGAAGCAAAACGTTGACACCTGCGAATAAAATAAACAAGTCGCCATCGTGCTTTTCTTATTAACACCGAACAGACATAACTGCTCGATCAGCTCTTTTCCTGCTGATCTTTGCTCTACGTACTGCTTAAGAACAACATGTTGTTAATTTACTAATTAACGTTTATTTTCTTCGGCGGGCCAATTTACATTACTTGCATTTTCTTTACTACATATGATCGAAATAGTGCATCGGCAAATCGCAGTCGGATGCAAACGTACTTAACACAAATTAAAAAATAGATATAGTAGCGGGAACACCGGACAACGCATATTCCGGAGCGAAACCGGAAAAGAGGATTCCCATATTTTATAACCAAGAAAGGGCGCGTCTACAGAGATGAAATTATAATATCTTTTCGACTAAGCGCAATGTCCCGTATAAATTTGCTTTCCGACATTAAACTTATAAAATATAAACCTTAGGTTAGCATCATTCGGCATTATTTCAGCCCGTTCTGACGCTTTCGGAGTTTCAAAAATAGAAACTCGCAAGATAATAATTTAGAACCACTGAACATTTAATTGAATCATACAATCAATTCACCTACAGCGTTATTACGGTTATTGTCCGAACATCGCTGTTACTATTATAGCAGCTAATTATTCGAATAAGACTGTCGACCCGCTGATAACTGCTAGAGTAAACATAGTAATTGTTTGTTTAAAAATTTGAAAAATAACAAATATAAATAGTAATTCAATTTGGATCTTGAGGGACATGCTGACGTTCTTTGTTTGCACACGTGTGTGTTTTGACATCATGTGCAACTTTGATAGTATATTTTGCGCATCTTTTATATATCTCGTAGCATTTTAAGATTATTAGAAAATGTCTTCATCACTACGAGGTTTGAAACCGTTTTTAAATGTCGAGTTTTTACGTTTTGATATACAAAACTTGGCAGGTATGCACATTAGTAAGCTTTTAGTTCATGTTGTTTATTATTTACATAAGTTATTTTAACACTCTACATTGTTAATATGCAAATTTTACTGAGTTTCAATAGTTTTTAGATCATGGTCTGATCGCAGCAACTTGCCAAATTAATCTTAATTGTCTTACAGGGTCACATAGGAGAAGTGCCCTACGAGACAGCTGTGGGATGGTCAAAGAATCACTATCCAGCAGCCACGAGTCCTTGGTCTTCTCGAATCAGGCATTCTCAATATAGTGTAAGTGTTTCAAAATTTTAATAACCGATGATTCTAACTACTCTATATGGAATGACAAGCTGAGCGTTGCTATTCTATTAATTTTGTAATTTAATTTTTGTGATATATTTGTATGAGTACAAAATGAAACTAAATCCTTATATTTCCGTGAAATATTCTTGTGTCTATATATACAAGGCGATCCAAAGTGAGTTACAAACGTTGCGAGATGGCGTTTTGCTGGATAATTTTCATATATACCGAATAAACAATAATACGTTGTTATTGTTTCATACGTTGATATTCTTGAGATTAGAATAAAACTGACTCTCAACTCATTGTTTCATTCGAAGCAAAGCGACCGGTTTTAAGATATGTTCGTTATTTCACAACATAAAAATGCCCAAAGTACTCGAAACGGCAAATCGAGCCTCAAAACGAATCAACTTTTGAGTGGCAATTTTTTTATTGTTCTCTAATATCGCTAATACAGTGGGACCTGATTGGAAAAGTAAATGTCGTTAATACGTTGAAATAATTAGAAACTTTTCTGCAGGCAATGGCTTTTATTAATTATGCTTATCTATAAGCAATTGATTCAAAATCCATTTTTTGAAACATGACAAATTAGAAAATTTGACTGGGGAATTCAGCCGCCCGTTTTCGTCAAACGCTTTATTCGAATTTGATTTTACCTCTTCTTGATTCCCCATTTTCTTTAGTGTTTTGTTTTCCTCGGCTTGGAAGATACTTCCAAATTAAATATGTTGGTGCAAACGCACCCTCTCTCAAGCAAGCATTTCCCAATTTAATTTCAAAAATGTTTTTGCATATAGCACAAGAATTAAGACAACATTTACATATCTATCTACATGTTTCAAGTTAATATCAGATGCGCAATCTATTGTACAATAATATCGCTACTATTACTAAAGAATTAGGTATAGCTTTTGGCAGTTTGTGACCTGAACTAATCAACATCATGTTAATTACGTGGTTTATGTTTAAAAAATCACCACTTTGGGCAATGGGCAAATTTTATTTCCGTATTTAATTATCTGGTAGATAAACGCAAATGAAACGGATATATACTAGCTATCCAAAATATAGCTCCATTGCTCAAATGGTTTACGAGTCGTAATGCAGTGAATATGAAAATTTCATAATTAACTATTTAAGTGATAATTGTGATGAACTTGTCAATTCAGGTAATTAGCAAATGTTATGAACGACTTGTGAAGTGTGTCTGTGACTTTCACCATTTATCTGTGCAAATTGCTCCGATTATTCGTTCGGGAGTTGAGATAAACTTCCATATATACATAATTCTATTTTGCAAAGCGCTAAACATGATATTGTGGATCACTAATAAGTTTTCAAACTGCTTGAAGAAACTGAAAGTATTTTTCAATAAACACATATAAGTATTCCTGTTTATAGCCGTTTTATTGCTACGATCAACTTAATGATGTATTGAAATATTTTGATCCATAAATTTGGAGTTTAGCAACATTGCTTTCTCTGGTGTTGGACATTTAAACATTTTTTACTTACGTGTTTTCCAACATAAGTAGTGTTCAGTTGAATAATAGTGAATAAAGTAACGGTGGATGATCTATTATACTTGAATATATTTTAGTTTTTGACAATTATCTGAGAGTTTAATGTGTAGTTAGGTATCTAAGAAAAATGAAAATGCGAGTTCCACAACACGTTTCATTTTGTATCTTTTACAGCATTTGTTATTGCATTGCAATAACTAAATACATTTAGAGAATTCTACTCTTTACTGTCGAATTTCTGCAATTGCACATTTTATGCCACCCAGCAAGACAGAGAAGCAAGAGAAATTCACAATAATGTTAAAATGATTCACTCAAATACATATGTGACGAATAAGAGTTTTTAATTTTAAATTGTTATATGTATATTTGTTTAAGATTTTTGCTGGTACGATTTTGTAAATGTTTTCTCGGTTCGGCCGAAGTCCCATTTATCTGGGTTTGTAAGCAGTCCCAAACTGGAAGCCCATTAAACATATGTAATCAGAAAAGCAATATTGCAAAATCGAAGCGGCAGAAGTACATAAATAAAAACATGGATTTAAAATGTTGTTAAACAGATAATTTCACCAGAGAGTTTTAGCACACTAGCATATCAACCGCTTGTATTCTACTAACAAAACAACTACTTCAACTCGAACATTCTGTTACATCAACTTCAAAATCCATTGTTAGTTTGACAAGTATCACTTACCTTTTATACCTTCTTTCTTGTGAAATAGTCTTGACCAAAAACATTCGGGAAAAATTTGCGAGACAAAATATTTCACTAGTGACTTTTTGGAAATTTCGACAATTTTTACCAACTACGAATGTCATTCACACAATTTCCAAGCAAGAAACTTTTATAGCAAAAAATATTTAAATAATATTTAGAAACATTTCGCCAGCAAAGTATTCTCTCTTATGATATTATCATCGACGAAATGTTAAAGTTATTACCTACTGACTTTTTTAAAAAACTGGCTGCTGTCTGTATAAATTAGTATCTCGAGAACTGTTTCCTGTTTCCTTTCTGTCATTAGTCCTATACACTATACAGGGTGTGACTCAATCAACAAAGCTATAGCAGGTGTTTTAAGAATAATTCTGATAACAAAATGCATATGGTCGACTTACTTTTGTTTTAAAGATATTAAAGAATGGAATTTTATTGGAAACTCAAATGAGAAGAATTGGAAACTCAAATGAAAGGATGACGGCCACTGCACGCAGCGGCATTAGTTGTAGAAACTTGTTTCTCCTTTATATCTAATTGAGAAATCTTGCATACATTGATATTGAACAATATTTCATCCCATAAGGGTTCATTTAGTTTAAATTTTATTGGCATTGACAAACACTACTTATTTAATGTACCACGTGCCTACTGTGTTTAAATAGTACTACACTTTAAATCTGTCTTTAAAACTTAAATCTAGTGAAACATCAGTCACTTTGTAACCAACACAATAAGTTAAGAGATTAACGGAGGTCCATGGAGCTTTGTCTTTGTGTAGTTACACTAAATTATCGCCATAAAGTATCGACAAAAAGAAGAACGCTGGAAACCGTTTAGGCAATTACTTTTAAAGGACCTTTGGTTGGGAGCGCCGTAAATATTGCAACCCTTGTTTGTGTTTACGCCATAATGACATCATAATAAGTTCGACAGTCTGGGCTAGCCCCGAACAACAGTGAAAAAGCATTCTTTCGGAGATTTAAAACCCAAAGGGCGGCTTATATTGCCATTTTTTCTTACTGATTTTTCGTTTTTGTGTGGGCTGACAATCTTTTATACGACTTTAGATTAGGCATTTGTTATTCTTGGTTGGCAAAATGGCACTCTTTCCGCCGTTAAAGGCCATACGTTAGAAAGGGGATTATCAATAATTCAGATACCGATAAACATTTGTTTATAGTACAATATTTACCGTTATTACATATTTATATAGCACATGATTACATATTTAGTATCAGATTTGCTTCAGACGCATTGGCAATTAGTTTTGCTACAAATGCACTTTATAAAATTCTCCTATTGTATGTAATGAACCTATATTTTGTATATTTAGATGTTTTGACCCCAATAAATAATACATTATGGCTTGAGCTACTATGTATAATGCTAAAGTCCCATTTTGTTAATGGGAATTGACAACGGCCAGTTTAGTAAAATATATTTTCATCAACTGATTCGTTAGTAAATTTTCATATTTATTTCTAAAGTGGTTATAAATATAAAGTGGTCTTATCACAACCGACCTTGGATTGTTTACAACTATTTATCGTTAGGGAAACAATACGACTTATCCTACTTTTCAAATAACCGAATACTCTGGTTATCTAACCTTATCTCGTCGAAATTAAACGCTCATTTGATTACTACTTTTTGGTATGTAACATAAGATATTTCATGACTTTAAGCAATTCGTTCACTTAACACTGTAATTGGTTCTATCAGGATCGGACCTCGCATATTCTGAAGTGTGATTTATATTAAACGCAAATTTTGGTGACTTGATAAATTCCTGATTTTGTTTTAACTGGTTCTAATGAATCAACTCTCCACTTTAGATCATTGCATATCTAGGTAATCCAGTTCGCTATCATTTACTCCCACTTTGACATAATTAAATAAATAAATTTGCTATCTTTAGGGTTTATGTTCTATCTAAAAATACACAACTGATAATTATTCATCGTGCTGTTTTGTCAATAAAGTTATTTATCAGGGACGAAGTTTGAAGTGTTAATTTTACAACAATCAAATTTTGTTGCAATTTTTTACGTTTGTAAAAAATAAAAATCATCCTCATTTTATTTTGTTTGAAGTCGCCACATAGATTATTTGTTTATGTTTGGCATTCCACTAATTAAATCGCCGGCTGATTATCTTGAGGAAAACAGATCGTACTTTACGTTGTAACTGAATCGGCATAATTCAAATAACTACTTGCCGAATAAATCCTACAGCGGCAAAAAGCCATGAATCTTATTATTAATTCCTATGTTGTTCTGTTCGAGAACCAGTACACGACTCATAAATAATCTTATACAAACAAATAGCCTGAGGGAATCCTGTTAATTATTTATTGCAACGTTCAGTTTTACTGTGCTATTTTATGAAGTTTTATAAGTTTTCATTGTGCGTGGTTGGCTAAACAATTTACATGAGATAAATATATACATTGATAAAACGTTTTGATTTTAACATGATGTAGGTATCATCATCAATCAGTTGCCTTCGACGGATCCTACTTTCTTGATATGTAGGTAGGATACAAAATTGTCAATTAATAATGAGATATAAAAGATTTGAGTCTAGAAAATTAAACACTATATTAACTTTATGCCCGAACGAAACATTTGGGGATTGCCTTTGTTGACGAAAAAATATCCGTTTTATTTGATATTTATAAACGAAAAGCGAGGAAAAGCTTTGCACATCGTTTCTTTGAAAAAATTGCCAAACTGTAT